AAATAAATAAATATAATGTAGTGATTTTAGTTATTATTATTTATTTCTATTTTTTATATATTATGTGTTATCACCGTGCGCCATGCGGACCATTACGAAAATGGAGATAGTTTTTTATTATATTAATATCTGGTAATCGTAATTGTAATAGCAGTTAGTCTATCTATCACCATTCACCAATTTTAAAGCGTGCAGTATGTTTTAATATAGTCATTATGTTTAAATGCTGTCATTGTTTTTTTTTTTCAAATTAACATCCTGGCGTTCGACTGTTCGATGCGGATCGAATGATGAATGGTAACCATTGTAACCATTATATTATCACCAAGTTAACAACAGTTAATCGAATATCTCAATGTTTTTCCATCACCTACTGACCTACTGGCTACAATAAGAATTGATTGATATTCCGTTTAAATAGAAACTAAATTTCGTAATAATATTAAGATATTATTATAATATAAATTATAAAAATTTCGCTGTTATTGCACAATGCCACAATGTAAATGTTGACGCCAGGCAGTAACGCACACCGCCCCTGACGACGACGACACACACAGCAGTATTGCAGCAAACGTAGTAATGCTGGTGGGTTCAGGGGTTGTAAAGATGTGGGTGAGCGCACGGCAAGCAAAATGCGTCGCCAAGTAACAATACGGCAAGATGTATACTTCTAATAACTAATTAAATAATTAATTTGTTGGACTTTACTATTTTGATGGCTCATCTGCACGCCGAGTACTTGCGTTAACAAAATAAATCATGAAAATCGATCCAGTAGAACTTCAGATATAACTGTCATAAGGAATCGYCTCACGTTTTAATTACATTAAATTAAATATAAAGATTTCAAAAGTGATAATTTTATTGGTAATCAAATACTGAACAAATATTAATAAGAATGTAATAGATTGTTATTAATAAAAATTAACACTTCAATTGGGCACATTAAACACTTAAGATATGTTGAAACTTTAAATTATATTTTTATCTACCAAAGGCCAAATCATGATATTTCATTAACATGCATCTGCTATAATCTTTTTAATTACTTAATTTAAATTCTCGAAAAAAATCACAACAATTTACATCAGAAATATAACTTCATTTTATCTGAAATTAGATATGAATTATTAACAATATTAACCACTTAAAAATATACTATTGAGATTATTAAATATGTTTATATGTAATAACTTGTAAGCATATTTGTGTAACTAATTTAAGTGGTATAAATTATGTCAATAGCTGATTAATTCTAATTTTCAATCTTTTTTGAATAAAGAAATAAAATGATTATGATATTGATATAGGTAATGTAAGAAATCTGTAGTCTGTAAAACCATCAAGGTACATGTAACTAGGTGGGGAAAACTAAATTTTGGTGAATTCATAATTAAACTTCACTGTTATAGATAATTTTAATGTATTTAGCTTGATTGACCAGTACTACTCCTATCCAGTAATTAACATATAAAATAAAATAAGACTACTGTTTGCCAATTTTGTTACTTAACCAATAAAATAAACAATTTCACTTAACCATTTATATAAACAAATAGTTTTAAAAACTATTAAAAATAACTAGATACAAAGCAGATCTGTAGAACCATAATATTATATATAACATTTTTTATTTATATACCTAATACAAATTCACGGAATTAATTATAAAACTTTTATGCATTATCAGAATATTAGAATATTGATAATCCTGATTTAGTCATCACTAAAACTACTGTGCCTTGGTAAAAAGTAATTAGTAATTACTATAAAAACTGTTATATTCTTAACACCATCGATACCAGACACCAGTATCAACGTTTTAAGTACCATAAGCCCCAAAATAACTAGTCCATTATTAGTTACTAGTTGAATGCATTAACCATAGTTATTTCCAAAACCAGAATTGGGTGTAACTATTGCAATTATTGAAAATGCTATAGTTTATTATAAATATAACCAAAAGGCAAAAATATAGTATGTATACCAAAAGAAATGTATTTAATAAATCTAATTCTTGAAAAAAAAAAATTATATCCTTTGTTATTGGTTCATTAACCAATTTTTATAGAATTATATTAAATTCTCTTAAAATTTAAAAATTAGATATTACTGATGATTGTACCTTGGTGTTTTAAATTTACTAATTGGTGTCAACTTAATATGATAAATTAATATTCACTCAGTGAAAAAAAATTATATTAAGGTTATACAACTTTGAACTTACTTAAGGACTAGTATTCCAGCATTAGTTGCAGAGTCTAAATCAATATTGTCAACACCTGTTCCGGCTCTTCCGATAACTTTAAGACCATACTGAGCTCCAGCTTCAATTACTGCCTTGGTTACTTTTGTATCTGAACGAACAACTAATCCATCATACAATCCAGCCTGAGGAAATTTGACTCAAATTATTTTCCAAACCTCAAGTTTTTTTCATACTAATTTTTATATTTAAAAACATTCTAAACTACTTTAAACTTGAGTCAATTACAAATTATATATGCAAATAAATATTATACATAAATTGTATTAATTATAATATGGCTAACTGTAAACTCAGTCCAGTGAGAGATCATACCGATTCTGTCTCAACCCCACTCATCGCCTTGTTTTTGAAACCAGTTTTACTATGAAGTTACTATGTCTAGAGGAGAATATACAAAAAACAGATTTTTGTTGGTCTACGGTGTGTTGTATTACTGGTCAGAGTATAAGAAGGCACTATTAGCTGATGCATATTGTCATCAGTTTGAGCTGGGCCCATAGAAAGACCACCATACCAAATACACAGAAAGCAACAGAAACCCACTGCACAGTAAACTTAACTATAGTACACAAACACAACACACAAGTCTAAACCAGAGTATCTCAAACCTTTTTTTTTAGCACCACCAGGCACTAATGAATAAGACAAAGATAATTTATTTAATATTTACCACTAATGACTAAAAATAGAACTATTACAAATTTCAATATATTTATTTCAAAATGATAAGGCAGTGAAATAATACTTTTTAACTTTATCTATATATTCTACAATCTCCAGCATAATTCGAGAAAATAATATACTTTTATCAAATAAAACTACCCAGGGGTTAAAAAAATAGAAAAAATAATTTTTAAACACTTATACAATACCCATACCATTATACTAATATATTGCATTTATCAATATAATATGCAGTATGCACATTATATAATAGAAGACAAGTTTATTTTATATTTATATCAAAGAACAAATTATTAAACTTATGCTTATGCCAAATTCCGTGGAGAACTGATTATATATAATGGACCATTACTCAAATGATCATCGGTATTAATTTATTAAATTTTTAGTAATTGCTTATAATAACATGCAACCAGGAATTATATTAGATTATGTAGAATAGTTATTATTGAGGTATAAATTTTAATATAGAAGTTAAAACATTACCTTTAACTCTGCTATAAGAGCATCAGTTGGCAATTTGTATTTTGATTGAACTTCAATACCATTTTTTTCAAGAAGTGTAGCACAAGCAGGATCACAAGCATCGCTGATGAGTACCTTTTTTATGGAGACACGTGGACTGGACATGTTTACAGATGAATAATGAGTGTATGAGACAAGATTGTCGTACTGAATGTACTGTTGCTCAGTGTTAACTGTTTAGTGTAATGGTGTTCACTCTTCAATGTTGCTCTCTCACAAGACTGAACAATAGTGGTTGAACTGGTTTTGAACGTCGCGAGTGGCGTGTGGTTATAACCACTGCAGACGGCAATTTCAATTGGACATTGGTATGTCTTAATTTTTATCGAAGTATATTACTATTAGACATTAGTATGTTAATTAATATATTGTAGGTACTAATTATTATTTGCTAATTTTAGATTTTAACTCGTTTTTTTTTTTATAATTATTAATCACTTTTGATAAACATAATCTTTTTTCCTATTGGTTTGGTCTTTGACCCAAGTGTAATAGTTTAATCACTTTTGATAAACATAATCTTTTTTCCTATTGGTTTGGTCTTTGACCCAAGTGTAATAGTTATTTTACTACGATGCATATTAAATATATATACATCATACATGGTTACCATAGGAAGGATTATTGAAGAAATGATTATAGTAATATTAATATAAATAATTATTATAGACATATAGTGTATAATCAATATAGATAAAGAATTAACCAACTATGATTTTTTTATTGTAACAAAATCCACTTTAAAAAAATGTTTATTTAATTTCTTTTAAAACTTTATTTTATCTACCTACGACCTACCTATATATAAAAACCACTTGAAACATCTTACTAACTAATTTACTATGTGCATTGCGCACCATAGTTTTGCTATTAAAATAATTTAGAAATGTAATTATAGTTTTTAAATCGATATTAATATATTATTAATATTTTGTAATATTTTTTTAATATTTTTTAATAATTTTTGTTTTTTTGTTCATAAGTATTAAATAATATTGAAAATTGTATTACCTAGTTTTGTTTTAAATGATTAAAAACTAAGAATTGAAGAATAAACATTAAAAGTACAATTTTGATATACCTACCGGCTACCTGTAAATTTTAAATTGTGGCAAATAATAGCCATATAGCATAGATACTATAGTTAGGTTTACATTATAATATTTCAATATTTACATTGGTAAAAAAAAACAGTTTATAGTAATTATTACATAGGTAACAACTAACAATAGTCAATCTGTCGCCTACATTCAGCTTGATTATGATTGATGAATAAAATCGAACAATTCGAACATTGCAATGAATTTAATACGTTTGATTTTTTCTATCGTTACATTCGTGTACGTAATATTAAGCATTGAACTATAAAATAGTTATATATATTATTTTATTGGTACGTAGACTAAATTTACTTAATTGAAAATTCATTTTATTTAGTATGGCATTAATTAATGAATATATCTATGAATTTCGAATATTTAGGCTATAATGTTCTTTTATTAAATTATTAAATATTTATTATTAGGAAAATCTGTAATTGCCACTGCCGCCAGTTCTTAAGCAGGCAATAATGGTCCGACTGGTCCGAGTGCCTGACTGATAACGTAAAATATTATAATATTAGTGATGAGAGGAATAGAGTATAGATAACACTATAACAGTCATACATTTTAGAAGTGGAATAAAATATCTTAGACCATAGTTTATCTTTCTTGTACCGTTATCTATTTATTTATGATATAAATTACTGAAATTTGTTGTAAATATTGTAATTAATTACCCTTACCAATTATTCTAACTGTTAAATATTGTTATTATTTTATCAATAAGTTTGATTACCATATTAGGTATATGTCATGAACACTTATAATAATAAAAAAAAATAGACTAGGTATAGTTTTAGATTATGTGATGGATAGATTAATGATTATTGTTGTCAATCGTAGTCGACGCTCATGGTATTGTTAAAACCTAGTTTAGATTAATCACTGAGTAAAAATACCTGAAAGGTCTATGCGTTTATATTAAGAGGACGCTGCAGTGCTACACCCGCATATAATGTTGTCGGGCATAGTCGTTTACTAGTCGTACCCTTCCCTTTTCGGCCGATTTATTTTTCGACCAAATTTAAAAAGACTGATTCCCTTTACGACCAAAAACAAAAATTTTTTGTAAAATTATGGCAATTATATAATTATGTAATTTTGACAAATTATTAAAAGTATAAGTTGATACTGAAAAGTACCAAGAAATTTGAATTCGATTTGAAAAACCTTCAAATTTAAATAAATTAAATAATAGGGATAATTGTAAGTGTGTGTGTAAAATTAATATCGTTTTGTAAATAATTTTGTCACGAATTGTATTTTTGTTTTGGCCGAAAAGGGAAGTGTACGATATCGGTCGAAAACGGTCTCGCCCATGTTGTCACCGTTTTACAAGTGCGTAACATRGCAAATTTTATACTCAGCAGTGAGCAGATCACGTTTAGCCCCGTTAGTTTAAAATTTACCTCTTACAAAAATTAAAGATAACATTATTATCGATGACATCTCGTAAGCTTTTTATTATATTTTAATTTTAAAGTGAGTTATGAGTATTTTAAGATATACAAACAATTTACAATTTTAAAATATACATAACTCGCTTTAAAATTAAAATATAGGTGATAAAAATCTTACGAGATGCTCTCGATAATAATGTTATYGAATTATTGAAATAATAAAAAAATTAATATTAATTTACACGGGATTCAGATACACAGTATAAAACCATTTTTTTTCAACTTTTAAGGGATTTAGAATAGTTAAACCTCTACAAAATATATGTATAACTGAAATATTACATTATTAAAAACAAATCATTATAGTCATCATACTGACATAGTATACGCAAATTTATTTTAATGATTAATGGGTTATAAATAAAAATCTAAACATCTTTTATTTTTAACAAAGTGATCTATCTATTATGGTTAATGGTTATAAACAAGTTTATTGAGTTTATTCAATATTTATTATATTATACAATATAATATAATATAGTTAATATTACTCTAAGATTATAGGTATTCTATAAAAATTCTACGAGTCTATGACCGCGAATACGTATTTATGATAAATTGATAACAAATATGAAGTTTGATAAAATATTACAATTTTATGTAAAAAAAAAGTCAAGTACTTTAATTTAAATAATTCTAAAATTCATTAATAATTACTACGTAAGTAGGTCCATATTAGGGGGGGGGGCGGTCGCCCGCTTCGCTTTTCCCACAGGGATGCCCTTGAATAATTACCTAATGACTACAACTGTTAATGTATAGGAGGTGATACTCGCATGTATTTGTCTTCGTCTTACAAGTGCGTAACATAGAAAACTTTACGCTCAGCAGATCACGTTTAACTCCGTTAGTTCAAAAATTAGAGTGAATTGACCTCTCATAAAATTTAAATGTAAGAATATTATTTAGACGACCTCATGGGCTTTTACTATATTTTAATTTTAAAGCGAGTTAAAAGTGTTTTAAAATTGTACATTTTTTGTACATCTTTAAATACTTATGAAAAATTGAATCACATTGTTACATAAAAAAAAACATACCTATGTATTTGATAAAAAAAATACATAATAATAATTATATGTTCATCTGAGTGTAATATATTGAAAGTGTAATAAATAAAAATACACTACAATTTTAACAAAACATATTTTATATTTGTATTAAAATAACATATAATAATATATCCTATATTAAAAATATATTTTTATATAAGATATGTTCTAAATATTTGATTAGTGTATTGCTTTATTGAGAAAGAAAATTCAGTAAATTCAAATACGTGTATCCTAATTAATGTAATATATTTTTAATAGATTATTGTTAGTTGAAAAAATTAATTTACTACAGATACAGAAAAATGTAAATATGCATAGCTTTTTTAAAAAAAATTAAATTTTTTATAAAACAATTAGATAATTTATTTTCATTTCAAAATTTAAATTACATTTTATAGTATTTAAAAATCATGTATCTATTTTTTATTAATAAGAAAATTAAGAAAATTTAAATATCTATATCTTAATTCATGAAATATCATATGTTTGACAATTTACCTTCTAATTCTAATAATTTATAAATTATTAGAATTTGGAAAAATTAATTTAAAGATCAATAAAAAAAATGTAGGTAAGTAAGTTTAAAATAAAATTTGAATGAATTATAGTATTTAATACAATTCAAAATTTTAAATATGCACCTATAAAGTACAAGAATATAACATAATATGTTCCAACCTTCAACTTTAAAAAAAAAAGTTGTTCATTAAAGCGGTAAACCCCTTATGATATCTTATGTTTTTTTAGATTTTCACATGAGGACAAATCATTTTGAGATGGCTTTCTTTTAATAAAATTTTCATTTTCATCAGAATTTAGATTTGATAATTTTTTTATATTATTTGGTATTATTTGTTGTATTGGTATGTTATAATCCATTAAGTTGTTTTCATTTTTGGGAATATTTTCTACAAAATTATCACAAAAATAGTTAGTCATTTTTTGTAAAAGTTGATGGTTTTCTTGTGTAATGGATGTATTCATCATTTGATTCATATCATAATGTTGAAGGGATGTTTGTTTTGAAGTATGATTATAAACATTTTGAGCAATGTTGGAGTTATGGGCTTGTTCATCTTTGAATTTCCCAATGATATTTTCTTTACTTTTATTGTTAATATTTAATTGTTTATCTTTATTATTATCCAAAGGACTTCTATTGTTAAAAGATTGAAATGCCAACTCTGACTGAACATCATCAGATTCATTAATATTTAATGAAGTGTTGACACAACCTAGAAAATCTGAAAAATTATTTAACTCTTCTTTAACTATTATTGATCCTTTTTCATAGTCATTGTGAGAAGTTTCCAGAAAACTACTACTGTCTTTAGAAGATTTACTAATTCCCATTAAAAAATTATCATATTCTGGAACACTACCATTGATAAAATCTAAAGGAAAAGATGCAGGAACAATGTTGAATTGACCAACAGTTGATAAATCCATAAGCATATAATTTTCATCATCCAATTCATTGGTTTTGAGTTCTATGTTATTTTTAATTGTATCATTAATTGTTTTTACTTCTTTACAGAACATATTTAGATTATTTGATACATTTTCTACCGGTTTAATTTCTTTGGTGAAAATCTTACAGTTATTTGATACTTCTTCTATCGGTTTTATAGTTTTAGGATTTTTTGATTTAAAGTTAGAAGTATCTTGTATTTTTTTTGATAGCTTGGGAGAACTAGTTCTTTGTACATTTTCTTTTTCCGAGACTG